TTACTGCTTGGACAAGCGACCCGAGGGCCATCCCAAAGGTTGTCTGGCTACACGTCGCCGAGAACGAGAGCTTCGTGACCGCCGTCGAGCAGCTGCTCTTCGGCAGGTTGCAGCCATCCCTGCGTCGCAAGAACGTCCTCATGTACCGGGTAACTGTCCACATTCGCAGCATCGCCGACTTCGTTCCTGCCGACCTCTCGCCGCCACCACCTCCGCCAACCACCGACAACGGCGACAGTGGCCAGGACGGCAATCCAGATCGCCACCACTTCCAGCGAGGAACCGGTCCTTGGCTCCAGGGATTCCGGTGCCAGAGGGGCGTCGTCGACGGCGAGGTTGGGACCCGCAAGAGCGGCGGCGGCGCCGTTGGTGCCATGAAGGCACCCCATGTTGCAAGAAGATGCCCACGGGACGACGTCACCCGGCAACTCCACGCCTGCCAACATTCTGAGTACGCCTGCGCAAAGCAAAAGCAAAAGCAAAAGCCGAAGCCGCAGCAGGATGCAGGCGAATCCTGCTTTTGCGGCCAGGCCGTTCCCAGGCGGGAGAAGGACCTGGCTGAACTAGGGGCCCCGCTCCCATTCGAATTTGGCCACATGCTAAACGACGGCCAGTGCACTGGAGTCAAGTCGGCCTCGGATCCAATGATCCTCGAGGCAGGACTCCTCAGTAACCCCACAACGCCAACAATCATGCAAGTCGACAACCCAGCGAGTGCCGAAGAGGTAGGCACCGCTGAAGTGACCAACCCTCACGCCGTCCCTACAGACAACGCAAGTGGTGACCATGTGGCGGCCAATCTGGTTGCAACCTGTGAGCCCCTGGGCCACACAGCAGCTGCCGGGACCAGGGCGCCTATCACCCCGCCGACTGCCACACCGCTGGCAGTTTCGCCATCGGCAACACAACCCATGTTAACATCAGACGATACCTCTGCTCCGGATGCCACCGCCACAATCATGTGCGCCACGGCCAGCGAAGCCACCCCGTCGCCGAATGAAGCCGCTCGACGGCTGGCATGCTTCGCTGATGAGGTGATACAAAACACTAGATCACCACTGCTCAACACTCCGCTAGCCCAGCAAGCCCCAACGAAAAAGAGGGCCATGCCGTTACGTAGCAGCCGGATCGCCTCGCAGCAGCTGGCGCACGTCCCAACATCCAAGCGTGGGGAAGTGCTTCTCATGAGGAAAATGGGGATTCTACAGAACACGGCGCCACCATCACCAGGGGCCAAGCGGGCCTATGATGCCATTCTATCAGGGAACCTCACAACTTCACAAGTAGCTGCCCTGGACGAACTATTCCCAAAACAAAAAAACACGAAGTGGTCGAGTAGTCCGGACGACCCACGGTCTCCGCCAATCGGCCTTGATCTCCGTCTGTCGGACGTCGTATACATCAATGGATAACATCTCCATTTTATCATGGAACGTACGGGGTCTGAACTCCAGAGCGCGCCAAGACAACATGCGGACGCCCGTGGTTGACATTAGGCCGGCGATCGTGACGCCAGGAGCAGGATAGAACACAGCGACAAACCGCGTTCGCAGATAGTTCTTAACGCCTATGTAATCCCCTTTAAACTTCTGTTGCCGGGCCGGTGTAGACCATTTATAATTTAAACTCTCTTACTTCTGAATACAAATGAAACGCAATGCTCTTGCGTATTTAAAAAAAAAAAGAATCGGAATGCTATTAAAAGGGAGCCGGCGCCCAGTTGGCAGTGGTTTGGTGGACCGTTTGGCACCCAACATGATAAATTTTATGAGATTAATTTATAAGGGGCTGGCACCGGGCAGCATTTCAATTGCGCATTAATGTTATATTATACAGGTTTAAATTTTCTAATTACGCTTTTGACAATTAAATTATAGGTACCGTTGGAAAGCTGATGTATGCTATTGGTCAAACTTCAAAACAAACTTTTAAGAATAATATATTGGTAGAAAAAAAAAGACCAGACCAAAAAATGAGTATATAATACATATGTAGGAGTTACAATAGTACGGAAGGGGGAAAATCTGCGACACCGTCGCACAGTGGCTTCCGTGAGACACCCCGTAATCGGTTGACACGTGGCCACCGAAAAGCAAGGTGGCTGGTGGGGTTGAGAACACGTGTCAAGCAGGGAGACGGCGTCTCACGCAACGCAGCAAGCGACGGTGTCGTAGAAAATTTTTTTCCTACGGAAGGGATGAGGTGTACAGCAGTCCCGAAATGCCAGTATCATTTGAAATTCTGAATAGAGACAATTAAGACACTGTTTGAAAATAATATTCCCTCCGTTTTTTAAAGCTGCACTACAATTTGACAAAGGGTCTCAAAAGTAAACTTTGACCATTAATTTCACTTACAATGTATTATCCAGACGAACATCTTACTAAAATCCATTTGAGATATGAATCTATTAATAATCCCAAACTTTCATTTTTTATGAGTTCTCGGCCACTAAACTTGTCCAGGGTTTCAGCAAAGGTCCAAATGCGTTTTGACCCGCTCCCTACACTGACATGGCATGTTGGCTTAGTGCTGACGTGGATCTGACATGTTTGATCTAGTACCTAAACTTTTGCACGTCACTACCATCTAGGTCCCTAACATACAACATCATATTTCTAGGTTCTCAAACTTGCTAAAAGGGGCACACAAGATACATAAACTTGCACGATAGTGTCGTCTAGGTCCCAAACTTGTTAATCAGGCCACATGAGGTCTAAATTACCATTGTTTGCGATAAGGCCCTTGCATGGTTGCTGACTATACACTTGACATGTGGGGCCCATATGTCATCCCTCTCTCATCCCCTTCCCAATTCCCTCTTACACGGGCTCACATGTGGTCCCTCTGTCTCATGTCCTTCCCCTCCCTCTTGTCTTGGTTCGGTCAGGAACAACACACTCCCTGCCCTTGAGCCAAGAATGAGGAGCACAACTCACCCATGACCGACCACCATTGGGCCTGAGTCGTGGCCAAGCTTGGCAGGTGTGTTTGGAGGATAAGAGTGAGCGTGTGGAGGGCAACGACTACGATTGTCTAAGAGAAAGTGGTGGCAATAGCACGAGAGGGGTGGGGAAGGAGATGAGAGAGAGGGATGACATGTGGTGGGCCCCACAAGCTAGGTGCACAATCAGTAGCCACGCAGGCGGCTTATCACAAACAGTAGTATTTTGTACCTCGTGTGACCCGATTAGCATGTTTTAGGGACCTAGACGTTGGGATAAAACCATACTAACACAGCTTCTTAGTGATAGCGGAAGCGCTTAATTTCACCACAGTGCAAAACCAACCCAAGATCATCACCTATTCACGGAAGGAAACTATGCATTACACAAATAAATGGAGAAAATAGCAGCAACCACAAATTTGTTCCAGCCAGTTGTTATCACATCAATCGCAGTTGCTACTGGCTGCAACTGGCCACAATAGCATCTTCAACAAGCACAACTAGTTGCAACAGGTCACTCCCAACTGCAGTTGCAACTAGTTGCAACCACATTCGCATAAATAGATAGACACCAGATTTAACGTGGAAAACCCTCAAATCGGGATAAAACCCACGGGGCCAAGATAGTCAAATCTTCTTTCACTATATGCTTGTGGGATACTGGGATTACAACAAGTTCATCTCTAGATAGCACTAGAGGCAACCATACATTAAGATTCTACAGATCTTGGACAACAACAATAAGATTTGGGAGCTGCTACCTAGGGTGAAGAGAGACCTATCAAATGATGGTAGAACTCAGATATGAGGCACCAAGGATGACTCATCTAACAGGTACTATTTACAAACAAAAAAATCTACCTAGGAGGTTAGCCTCGTTTTCCTCCACACCAATGGTCATGACTCATGAGGTCACTTTTATCAAAGTTAATCATCGTGCTGAGAGATGTTCAAAGCAAGTAACCAACCATTTTAAGCAGGAGGGAGGGAGGGGAGCGAGAGTGGAGGCGAGCGTGGAAGACAAAACTATTGTGTGTAGGGGTGGGTAGGCTAGCAAAACTACCAGAAGTTGGGCCCATGGGGCCATGGTAGGCAAGGGCAATTGTGCAATAGGTTGGGGCGAGCATCATGGGTAGGGTGGTTGCCGCAAGAGATAAGAGGAGCATGGTGGAGATTGGGGAATAGCTGACATCGAGCCCTGAGCTAAGTAGCTAACAACAAACCGTTGCTAATAGAAGAAAATTAGTCATCTACATTTCCTCCCATTCCATCTCTCCTACCAAATACAAAACGGAGATGTGCTCGTCCACTCAACTAAAAAAGGAGATGGGATCATCCCATCTTAAAAAACTGGAATGGTTTCATGGCATCTCCCTCTTGGACCAAATGCGGCCTAAGAGTAAGAGTGCAGAGAGAAAGGACACCTCTTGAAAGAATATCCTTGAATCAGTTACAATCTAAGATCTCATTTGGGTGCAGAATTTTTTCTCTATTTTTTTTATGTTTGTTGTAGAAATAAATTAATTTAGGTGAGATCATTATACCATTTCTATAAAACTTATGCGTTCTAGAGTAGCCTAAGAATAAGAGTGAAAGGAGGAAGAGCACCTCGCCAAATACTTAGCATTGTGCTCTAACAACTCATTCCTGCTCCTTTTGATCATTTTTAGGTGTTACGGTGGTATTCACGCTGGTTAAACTTTCTTAAATTTAACTAGGTTTATGAAAAATATTAGTGATTTTTAAATAAAATTATTATAACAATAGATTAATTGTCTATTTAATAATACTAATTATATATCATAAATAGTAATATTTTCTTATATATATTTGATTAAAATTGAATATATTTAATTTTTTGAAAAGCGAGAACGACTTTAAAAATGGATAGAGGGATAGAGGGAGTACATCCTGTGCCACTGCTTTTGTCCGCAGGCGGAACTATTCAGATTTCAGAAGGGTCAAGAAAGCGAGGTAGCAGGACCTTCTCTACGCCAGTGCCACCTTCTCTAGCTAACACAACCAGTTCCTCATTCCCCTTCTAGTAGCAACGATGATGGCCGTGGCGTCTCTGCAGTTGCGCCCAATCCCTCGTCTCCTTCCGGCGAGAAATGGCGGCGCCCGCACAAGTCCGCGGATGGCCGACTTGAGCTGCAGATACAACCAGGTACTGACTAATTTGCTGATGTCTGGCAATGGCTCTGCTGTGGATCTATTCCCACTCTCCAGAATAATCGCATGATGAATTATTTCAGCTCTATGGCAGTCAAAAAGAAAGAAAGCACAAAAAACCTCCGAGACCGAATCCGATTACCACGGGCAACGAATCAGGGATAGGTTGATAGAATGGGGACTTGAGTTCATAAGTCATTAAGTAGCTAGATCTGCTTTGTATATGCCTGGGCAGATCTAGCTACTACTAAGGCCTGATCTAGCTACACTCGGTCGATGACCTCCGAGTTCATAAATCCGATTACCAAGGCCTGATGTTTTTTTCAGCATCGGTTGATTACTCATTTACTCTGTACTCTGAATGAGGAAACGTGAAATCACTAGGAGTAAATTAGTAACTATGAGCGGTGTAGCAGATTGAGGCAAGCAGCAGCTTCCGCTTGCGGATGCGCTTGTGCTGAATGAAGTCTTCACGGGGAATCTGGGCAAGCAGGGGCTCGTTTAATTGTTTTTGTTGTATGCTTCTGTTACTTTGCCTGTCCGGCATCCACTTGAACAAGCTACTAGTAAATTCACCCCTTGAACTGACACTGACCACTGACAGATCGTTCGCTGGTCGGTTTCTGGGTTGATAAGTCCGGTTGGTGCTGGTTTGTTATGAGAGAAAAATATTGTACCATGACTGATAAGCCCTGGCTGAAACCAACAAGCGAATAGGCTGATTGACCTGTACCTCTGTGAGTTCTCATCTCGAACATGTAGATTCAGACTTCAGAGTCTAATCCTAGAGTACATAAAACTGAATTTGCATTTGCATATGCATAGTTAACACAAAATTGACGTCAGTTGAAAAACATATTTCAGTATTGTTCTCTGCTGTATCAATGCAGTCCACCAATGTTCAAGGACGAACAAGGCTCAGAAGCCACATAGCACGCAGAGATGCCCTGTCATTCATGTCATCCGCCGTGTTGGCCGCATTCGTGCTCATGGTGGCCAGTCCAGCAGAAGCTAGAACTTCGAGATCGGAGAACAAAAAGAAAGCCTTGGAGAAGCTCAGGGAGAAGGCGTTAGGCGCAAAGGAGAAGAATGGAGCCACCGGTAAGGAGATGCCGCCTCCGGCGAACTTGCTAATCCCTCGTCCGGCCGTCCAGGCTTCCTTGTGAAAGGCACTCTGCCGATGCACCCTTTTATGTTGATGGCAATGCTAATCTGAGTTTCTACGTTGTTGGAGCCCTGTATGACTATGCCAACTGGAAACTGAGTCTTAAGTCTACTTTTTCTTGAGCACTGTTGTACTGTTTGTTCATCTGGTTATATGCTTGACAATCCAATTATTACAAGAAGTGCATTTTACATTATATAAGAAAAAATAAGATCGAGTGAGCTACAAATAATCAAAACAGTGACCCTGCTAACGCACCTTTGGAACGTAAGAAAATTTTCAGTTTTATGTGTTTTGTCTATGAAAATAAGTCGATTCCTATGAAATTGCTGTGTTCCAAAGGCCAAAGGGGGCCTAAACATACATAGCCAGATGCTAAGCAGCAGCCACAAGACACAGAAAATGCTTAGCACTGATGCAAGATAGAACCGTAGCTAAACCTTTACTTGCTTTCAACATAAGCAGAGGAAATCTCGGTAAAAAAGGGAAACAGATAGAACCCTCGATGCAAGATAGCAGCGGAATGCTAACTTCTGCTTCAGTGCCGAATTCATTCCCGGTTGTTGTATCCTATTCAAGCAAAGTTACTTTCGTTTAAAGAACCTTTTATTTTAGGAGATGTTTTACGGTGCTTGGGAGGAACCAATGATTCCTCTTGATATCAAAACAGACTAATTAAACTATAAGTAAGGGTAGCCTAGTAATTGTAACTTAATTCCCTTCCGGAGCACCCGTTCGCCCAGTGCTCGGCTCCCAGGGCCTCGCGCTTCTACCCTAGCTGATCCACCGCCGCCTCCCTCATGCACTTCCTCGGTTTCCGCTCTTCATCTGTCTGCAGGCGAGCAGAGTACCCCCTTGGCCGACGCGGAACGATCCACACCGATCCGGACACCCCAATCTGCTTGTGCTCTTGCTTGGCTTTCGGGATCCATGAATCGTTGGTATGGAGATCTCAAGCGAATCATCAGATCTTTCTACTGAGTTATCCCATTCTGGCAGCATTTATTTACTTATTTTGTCAGCACTCCATACCAACGATTTCATCGATCGAATAAATGTTGGATGAACTTTGTCTGATAATAAAGTCGACTATTTCATCGATCGAATACTGAACACTAGTTAATGCTTGGGACGTCGAACTAGCCTATTACCCAGACCCACTATGCCCGCAATGTCGCATGCCGTCAGCATCGTGTTCAGGGACTCCACGTTTCTCTGAGGCATCTGCTTGAACAACACTTCAGTTTCGTTCGTCGATGAGGTGGGTGAAGGAGCGCTTACCAATAACTTTCGGATCAGCGCTCTATAGAATATAATAGCCTGCAAATCCGGTGCGTTTGCGTCCGTGCGTAAGCTCCTACGTGGCGAGACACTGCAGCCCGACATGGCGGGCGCCCGGCGGGTGCCGCCGTCCCGCCGAGAAGACTGCTTTTCCGATCCATGGCAGCGAATCACCGCGGGCTGGAGTGGTGAAGTTATCGGATGGGATCGAACGAGCATAATATCCTTTTCTACGCAGAGGTACCATTTTACCCTCCATAATTTAATTAGAGCTATTCCAGGTCCACTGAACCTTAGTTCCAGCCCACAGCTCAAGTTCCTCTCAGTAGGTTCTTCTTTCTTAACCATGCGAATTAGCCATACGGATGGCTCTCATTATTTTCAAGCGCCGTAAAATTTCTCTTTAGATGAAATTTAAATAGCTTTCATATGCATAGAAGAGATGTTAAGAGAAAGATGATGCTAGATAACTGCTCACCTCACTCCAGGGTAACGGATGTACATGCTCTAATACAACATACATATATCTATGTCTCCTATGAAAACAAACTGCTCACTTCACTCCAGGATAGTGGCGCACAGCTTGTCGCATATCCCGGCATCCAAAAGATGTGAGCACCTTGTCTTTGAAGCGCCTAGGACTAACCAGCGGGATGTCCTCTCCGTCCACGTCGGCCATGAAGGCGTGAAGGCGTACGATGAAATCTACAACGATGATGCCAGTAACATGCAGGCGCTTCGTGAGTTGTTCCGCCGAACGACGACGTGGGTGCATGCAAGCGGCGGTGCCGCTGCTCAGCAGCCCGTCTATAGGCCTTCTAGCCGGCGCCGCATTTCGGGTTGATCAGTGTCCAATGTAATAGTTTAACTTTCAGTACACTAGGGAGAGTCGGAACGTCCATGTAAAACTCTTCTAATCCCCTAGGGCGCCGCTAAGACGTGTTATATTAAACTTTTTCTCTACCTTTACAAAGACGCGCAAACCTTTTACGCGATCGAAAAAAAAAAAAAAAAACAAACTCACTAACTTTTCAACTTCGCGTGCAAGCTATCATTATCAACTCATACTAAGAACATCTCGAGTAGCAACCGTTTCTAAAATCTCGCTTCTAAAATTAAGATAAAAAACAATTTTGCATCCGAATTTTTTTTGACTATTTCCAAATTACGTAAACCACTTTTATACTTATATCTTTCTCTTGTACATTTGCATTAGAAACACTTTAATTACTCCTATTCTTCACCCACGTCCTTCCACCTTCAGATTGGCCGATTGATACACATTGCGTATATTTCCGTGTGATTGGATCGATTTCAAGTGCAGAAAGATTGGGAGTTCAGATAAGAAGTGGTTGAAGAGTGTGTTTTTTTTTCATTCCTGTCAAAAAATTAAGATTAGAAATGGAATTTAGAAACTCTCGGAGATGCTCTAAGTGCTATATAATCTCTTACTAAGTGCCGCATCATTTTTCACTAAGTATAATTACTATTCTCAACCTATATCAATATACAATATATTTCCACGTTATATTATTTGTCTGGTCGTTATATCCTCGTACAATTCGATCTAATATTCTATTAGCTTGCTTGATTTTAATTTGATGGCCTATCTCATACATGAAACTATGCAACTTCATTTCTAAAAAAAAATCCGCTATAACAAAGGGTATTATTCTAGTAACTTCGTTTAAGGAAGCCAAAAATGCACAAGAGAGCGGCGGAGGCCAGAGGACCTCAATTAATTTGTAGTATCAGGATATTTTCTCCATCCCCACGCCATATGCACTAACATTTTATTATATTGTTTTTTCTTAAAAATCTAAAATCGGCTCTTCATCTCTAACTAAGTATACAAAAATATATATTAATATTTACAATGTTAAAATATAAATATGCTATCAAGATATAATCTCTAGTAGTTGTAATTAAACTAATTTGATGTTGTGGATTTATTGCATTTTAGATACTTAATTAAAGTTGGAGAAATTGAATTTAGAAGAAACTAAACTGTATTACAATTTAGAACGGGAGAGTACTACACAAACAGTTATATTGCAAAACTTGATTGTCACGGGTAACTTAAAACCTTGAAAGATGGATATTACTTCACAGTTGTTATAAGTACCAACCTTGCGAAATAATTTATCTATGTTGTTTCCTTCTGTCAATCCATTGGCGTGTGTTGGTCGCGTAATAATCAGTTTACAGGGTGATTTGGTTACCGTCGTTTTATGTTTGGTTGAGCTAATTAAGCTGTAACCGGTCACAGTGGGATCAGATAATCATTACCCTGTAACAAATAGCAGGAGCAATCACTACTAGAGTGATGGAGTTTTCTTAGTGTTTTTAAATAGTAATAAAACATTATCATCAGTCATAGCACGTAAGAATCTTAAATAGAAGACATTTAGTAAGAAAAGTTTATATTAAATATTGAATACTAAAACACTAGGAGAAGCATACATCGCTACGAGAAATTGCAGATTCTGATCGTGAATCCTTTCCATTCCATCATCGTTACCGCTCTGGGATCCATCCACACAGCACCTAAATGCGTCTCACGTCAAACAAGTTGAGGCATGCACCACGGAAGGTCCACTCACCTACCGCTTGAACTTATTAGCCGGGCTTACTAGGTATGGTACGGTATTTCTCTCTCACAATAAATCAACGAACAGTACTTTTCAACCTGGCTTTTCAGCCCTGTTCGTCTCGCTGAAAAGTCAAGCTGAAAAATATGGATCGTTGATTTGTTGTGAGAGGAAAACACTGTTCCTCCGCTGAAAAAGAAAAGACAAGCGAACAAGGCTACCTGATGCTGGTGGTGGAGCACGGCCAGCAGGAATATTGGAACATTCCCAGGCATATCGATATCGCAGCTAGACGCACAGGTCAACCCATCTTGGTGAGCAAGTTCGTTGCTTTCCCTGTCAAGCACGAAATAATAGAGCAAGATCATGGTTGCCGTGCAGTGCTTGCTAACATGGTGACCTCACTCCAAGACCCAAGAACAGTCGTCCTTGGTGCAGTTAGTCCTCGCTTTGCTATCTTGGTCGCGACTCGCGAAGCATTCTCTGTAGCTGCGCACACGCGCGCGCTGTATATATAAATACAAATGAACCCTTCAGCGGCCATAGCTGCTAGTTACACATCCTCAGCAGTAAGCACACGACTTTGACGAAAAACAAATCAAACCCAAGTTCATCGCTCGGGGTCGGGGAAGCGAGAAGATGGAATCCGAAGCCGGAGCCGATTTCTGGTCGTCCGTGGCGTCGTGGTTATCGTGGTTTTGCTCTCCTACTACGGCGGCAGACTCCGGTAGGCGCACCGGGAGCGGGAGCGACGGGGCGGCCGGAATTGCTGCGGCGGCTCAACATTTCTCCAGCGCCCATACTGTTAAGTTCTGTTAAATAGGAGGAGTAGTGGTAGCATGTTATGTAAGATGCCGGACTACTAAGAACCGGATTCTAGTTGTATGTATCCTAATGGTATAATCGCAAGAAATTGCGGTGGCCACTTTCTTGTTCACTAATATTATAATAATCGGTTGTCCGGCCTACTCTGCCTTGACAATCTGACGCAACTGCGTTGTCCTTCTCATTGAAACTCCCCTCACTCGCTGGTATGGTAATTCCGCGCCAGTAGTATGGAGAATCATCCTTAAACTAAGATAAGAATTACCTATTCGAAAAAAGGAATTACCTAGAATTATTCACTTCA